GTATAATATGAAAAAAGCACAACTACTTCCACTTACTAGGAATAACATTTACCTTTTAGTTTAATTAATAAACTGAGTTTTAAATATGCTTACTAAATTCATAAACTTCGGTAAAACAACAATATAAATTATTTCCAAAGGAACTAGACTAATACAATTCCAACCTGGCGAGTAGCGACTTATAACAAGACACTTCGTTTGATGCTTTTACTTGTTGCTAGAAATCAGGTTCGCAGAAAATGCTGTTTACTAGTTAAATTTAGTAGGAATAACACGATCTGTGACGTAGGCTATAGTATACCCAATTGGATCCTATTTTTTGGAGTCTAATGTTTGCCTATTCAATAAATCTTGAGCAGGTATTAACTTTTAGACCTTATGTGTAGTTCAAAATAAAGCCGTCATCTTGCTACTTTTATTGCATTCCGTAGAAATGGAATTAGCTAATGGAAATACAACTCATAAATATTAAAAATATGCATTTAGCCAGCACCAAAATGGCCAGTTTTAAAAATGTATATATATTTTTTTAATATATGTATTAACTTTTGATTTTTGGCTGAAAGTTTGATCTTAAATACTTTGACTCATTTGCCACGATGGAGTGAATTTTCCTTATAGTCCAGTCATTAGTTTAAAAAAGTGGTGTTTCTTTAGAAAAATGAATACCCAAAATATTTTTTTGACGAAAGGATTTGTTATAATGATACCTAAAAACCCTCCACTGTATTCTCCCCCTTTTTTGCTGGGAAATGAGGATGATTTGAGGAGGAGAATGGAATTTTGAGGCTAGTGAGGCTTCGTTTTGTGGCTTTAACTGAGATCAATACCGAGACGGTCGGACTAATAGCTTAAGAGGTTTTATGATACAAAAAGTACATTTTGTAACTGTACTTATTTGCGCATTGCTATCGAAACATATTTGTTTTATATATATATTGTATATATATATATATATAGCACAATAAGTAAATACAAAAAAAAACACAAAGAAAAAAGAGAAAAACGGGGAATATTAAGAACATCAATAAGTGAAAACATGGAAAAAATTACAGAGCCATGAGAAGAGGGGAAAAGAAAAATAATAATAATAAAAATCAGGAAAATAATCCAAAAAAAGGAGTAAAAATTAAAAAAATCTGGAAAATAAAAGATATAATCTTTTTATCAGCTCACACGATAATATCCGCAAAAAAGAGTGCTTTCTAATGTTGTATCAATATAGCCAAAGCAAAATATAAAGCAAAATACAATAGTATGAGGAGCACTAAAAAAATTTTCAAAACTCTACAACAAATAGGATAGAACATATTAAGTAAAAATATCACGTCAAAACAGAAAATAAAATGTAAGGAAAAAAACAGAATCCAACATGAAAAGAAATCTATAAAGCGAGTAGGGAATTCAAATGAACTTACATGAACGGGAAATTTTTCAAGAATGATTTAAAATATTTTTGGAACAAGATTGCCAGATTACAAAATATGAGATATATAATTTGTAATCTGGCAATGAGATATATAATTTATTTATAATATTCAATAAATAAATACAAAAAAGACAAAAAGAAAAAAAAACAAATAATATTAAGAAAAACAATAAGTTTTATTTACTGCGCATAAGCTCATAAAATAAGTTCAAAATGTAGAGAAAACATGGGGAAAAAAAAGACAGAACAATGAAAAAAGAGAAGAAGAAAATTATTTGAAAACAAAATTTAAATAAATAAATAAAGCAAAAATTTGAAAAAAATTCGAAGAAAAAAACGATTATCAGCTCACACGATTATATCCACAAAAAGCAGTGTTTTCTAATATTCCATCAATAGAGCCAAAGCAAAATGTATCAATACAAAAGTGTGAGGGAGCACTCAAAAATTTTCTTTAAACGAAATAGAAATAAATCACAATAAGTAATCAATATCACGTAAAAAACAGAATATAAAATTTGAAGAAAAAACAGCACAAAACATAAAACGAAATCTATAAAGCGAGTAGCGATTATTTATTTTAGTAGGGATTATTATAATTTTTTTTTTTAATACTATATATTTATATATTATTAGCCTCACAAGATGGCAATCGATAAATTTAATGACACAGATATCGATTGAAAAATTACAATGTTAGAGGGGCTTCACTTATGAAATGAATTCTAGTCATTTTTGAGAATGCCAATTCAAACGACAAAACGCAATAGGTTGAAATAACTTTTGAATTTTTAATAAAGTCGTAGATTTAAAATTTGATTTCTCAGATTGAACAGATGGATCCGATTTCGTTCAAATATTGTATTTCGCAATTTATAATTAAATTTTTAAATGGAGGGGGGAAATTGTGTACTTTCTAATTTAAAAATGTTTCGACTATTATTAAATAGAATAATAATATATAATTATCAAAAAAAATAATAATTTTTGCAGGACCTTTGGAAGAACGAATTTTATAACAGTGTACAAAAATCTTTTAATTCGTTAGAAACACTCTACGAGATCAGACGAATTATGTAAAAAATAAAATTATGATGAAAGGGTCACGCTCTCTCAAGTATTAGGGGACTTTCAATTTACCACATTTTAAGGATCCGTCGATTGACATAAGATGCGATTATTCAAAAAAAAGCTGGAAAAATATTATTACAACATCTCATTTGGGTGGATTTTCAGTATTAACAAAGGGGAAAAAAAAAAGTGACTGTAGAAGACTATCCCAATACAAATGAAATTATCAAGCTCAAATTTATCATTCAAAAAGTATTATTAACTTCCCTCGTGTTTTTTTAGTACTTTATTTGATATTCAAAATTATTATCATAAACTATTTGACACAGTGTTGTTACATAGGTAAGTAAGTAGCTTTTTTTTTTACTTTGAGTGCCGTCGCATTTCGAAATCGCGACAAAAAAAAAAGGTTGAGAATCACTGCTTTCGTAGAACAAAATAAGAACTCAACATACCTGATGCACTAGAATAATCCACAAGGATTCCCAGTCAATCAATTTACATTCACACCAAATTTACGATAAATTCCTTTTTTCCTCTGCAAGTAATTCACAATTAGGTAATCCTCCAACACATCGCACAGTCTGTATGTGGAGGACACACAAAAGAATCGTCTGCTCCCAACAACTCACCTTGCAGGTTTACTTTCATCTGATTCGTTCTTTTTTGTTGTTGTTTCTCTCTCTATCAACAGGTGAAGGGAAATATCTTCTTATTGGCCAGCCGATCTCCCCTCAGGGTGTCCTGTTATGAATTCATAACAGGAGGATATTTTTTAAATAAAAGAAATTTCTGAAACAGCTCCATTAAGTATCAATACTTAGTATTGACTAATTGAATAAACATTATTTAATAATTAAAATTCATAATTGTAATTAAAATTTGCATGACACCACTAATACAGTCAAACCCAGCTATAGTGAACGAAAAGTTCGCTCCCGTGCGTATAATGTTACTTTTTTGTGGAAGGAGTGAACTTTTTTATGTCTAATTTTTTCCTTTCGTTTTTTTTAATAATAATGTTGAAAATTTCTACTTCAAAATAAATACATAAACAGATTTTTAAAACCATATATAGCATGGAATATAGCAATAAGCATTTTTTCTTGTTCTTTTATCTCACTTTCCCTAAACAAAGGCTGTGGAAAGGGGCCAGTGGGGTCCATATTTAGAGAGCATTGGAATGCGTAGTTATTCATTAATGGGGTGGACACTAATCTGTGACACTAATTTCAACTCGTTTTTACTCTCAGTTGAGTTAAAGAATCCTGCAAATAAGTGTCACAAATTAAATTATGGCGAGCAGTAAACGTCCTTCATTTAAGATAAAACGGATGTTATCAAGTCAAATGTAAGAAAAATGGATGTAATCAAGTCAATATTTGAGATAAACTCATTTTCAGTGACTACATATTATTTTTCAGTTATTTATTTAAATAATGTATATTAACCATTAGTTAAATTGTCTGAGGAACGGATATAGTAAACTCCCGGTTATAATGAACCAAACTTTCGGTCCCTTGAAGGTTTACTGTAGCAGGGTTTGACTATATCTATATACATACATACATATACATATATATATATACACACACACACACACACACACACACACACACACACACACACACACACACACACACACACACACACACACACACACACACACACACACACACACACACACACACACACACACACACACACACACACACACACACACACACACACACACACACACACACACACACACACACACACACACACACACACACACACACACACACACACACACACACACACACACACACACACACACACACACACACACACACACACACACACACACACACACACACACACACACACACACACACACACACACACACACACACACACACACACACACACACACACACACACACACACACACACACACACACACACACACACACACACACACACACACACACACACACACACACACACACACACACACACACACACACACACACACACACACACACACACACACACACACACACACACACACACACACACACACACACACACACACACACACACACACACACACACACACACACACACACACACACACACACACACACACACACACACACACACACACACACACACACACACACACACACACACACACACACACACACACACACACACACACACACACACACACACACACACACACACACACACACACACACACACACACACACACACACACACACACACACACACACACACACACACACACACACACACACACACACACACACACACACACACACACACACACACACACACACACACACACACACACACACACACACACACACACACACACACACACACACACACACACACACACACACACACACACACACACACACACACACACACACACACACACACACACACACACACACACACACACACACACACACACACACACACACACACACACACACACACACACACACACACACACACACACACACACACACACACACACACACACACACACACACACACACACACACACACACACACACACACACACACACACACACACACACACACACACACACACACACACACACACACACACACACACACACACACACACACACACACACACACACACACACACACACACACACACACACACACACACACACACACACACACACACACACACACACACACACACACACACACACACACACACACACACACACACACACACACACACACACACACACACACACACACACACACACACACACACACACACACACACACACACACACACACACACACACACACACACACACACACACACACACACACACACACACACACACACACACACACACACACACACACACACACACACACACACACACACACACACACACACACACACACACACACACACACACACACACACACACACACACACACACACACACACACACACACACACACACACACACACACACACACACACACACACACACACACACACACACACACACACACACACACACACACACACACACACACACACACACACACACACACACACACACACACACACACACACACACACACACACACACACACACACACACACACACACACACACACACACACACACACACACACACACACACACACACACACACACACACACACACACACACACACACACACACACACACACACACACACACACACACACACACACACACACACACACACACACACACACACACACACACACACACACACACACACACACACACACACACACACACACACACACACACACACACACACACACACACACACACACACACACACACACACACACACACACACACACACACACACACACACACACACACACACACACACACACACACACACACACACACACACACACACACACACACACACACACACACACACACACACACACACACACACACACACACACACACACACACACACACACACACACACACACACACACACACACACACACACACACACACACACACACACACACACACACACACACACACACACACACACACACACACACACACACACACACACACACACACACACACACACACACACACACACACACACACACACACACACACACACACACACACACACACACACACACACACACACACACACACACACACACACACACACACACACACACACACACACACACACACACACACACACACACNTATATATATATATATATTTCAGGCTAACGAACAAAACAAATATTAGGCCCCTTTAGCGCTTTCTAATTCGTCTATAACTTTTTAATTTGATGTGGTAAATATTCATGGTGTAAAAATATATGAGACCGAAATTCAAAATAATAGATTAATGTAAAATTACATAGAGCGATATATAAGGAAGGTAAATAGAATTGAGAGTGAAAGAAAAAATATTTTTACTTGAAAGCTGAATTCAATATCTTTCAGAGCAAAGAAAATATGCGTAAAAAGGAGAATAAAAATAGTACTAGTAAAAAAAAATCTTACATTAAAACATAAACATTTTTTTCCAACATAAAAAAAAATTACGTTGTCTGCCCATAGATATTATGTCTCCGAAATTCTACTATAGATGTCGCTACTACCTTAAAAAATTAATTAAGTAGATCTACTGATTTTTTGACATAATTTTAGCTTCGTGATCGCCTTCCAATTTGTCTGTTTTAAAATTTGTTGACCTGCACAGTATACAAAATAAAAAAGATAGAACCCAGAATAACTTTTGATCTAATTATTGGATTTTCAAGCAAACTTACACACCATTTTAATTGTCCTCGGATCTAACTTCCAATATGCTAAATAACTAAAGCAGTAAATATTTTAAGTTCCACAATGAGACACAAAAATGTACTTTCTATTAATAAACATACGTTTTTTCGGCAAATTCCTGACCCTCAGAATAAGGGGAAAACTGAATCCGGAAAAATCCGCAAGCTGGAAAATACGGTGCCAATAATTGAGGTGTGAAAGCTGTCTTAATAGCATACAAGCTATTAAGACAGCTTTCTTAAGCTGTTTAATAGCATGTTTCTTCGGCGAATTCCTAACCCTCAGAATAAGGGGAAAACTGAATCTGGAAAAATCCGCAACCTGAAAAAATACGGTGCCAATAACTGAGGTGGGAAAGCAATCTTAATAGCACGCAAGCTCCCCCGCCCCCCGAGCATAAAAATGTTTTAAACCCTTATAATATGCAATAATAATGGAACTAAAAATAACTTGAAATACAAAAAAGAAGACATTTTTAATTTTAAGTTATGCAGAATTTAAAAAAAAAAAATATTCAATTGCAATCCTCAAATAATAAAATAATTTTCCAAACCAAGAAACTAATTAAAAAAATAAATAAATAAAGGGTATAGCAAATAAAGAAAAATTCAAAAGGTATGAATCTGTCAAACAAAGTATTAAAAACATCTTTCAATGCACATGGGACATAAACCAGTTAAAAAATGACCATTCTAAACTATGATTATGACAGTTGTGTACTTAAAAACTTCATTTTAACGTAGAAAAATAGATATTGGTTGATATGCGAGATTATATTTATTTTGAAAATTATATAATTCAAAGTTGCTTGTTATTACCTTTTTTAAATACAATTTATTGAAAGTAAGATTAATAATTCAAGTGAGAAAAAGACCAAAAATTTGAACCCCTTCATGCTTACTAGTAGTAATAATAGTTCATTTACGTCATTACGTACATTTTTGAAAGGGCCCCCGCCAAAAATGTTTGCCCCAGGGCCCCGAGGACTGAAGTTACGGCACTGATTCTGGTTCAGCTGATAGTTTAAATTCTGCTAGTTTAAAATTTAATCGGCTGGTCCATAAGAGTTCCGCACCCGTTTTGCACCAACCACAATGTTGACGTAAAATAACCGTAATGGTAGACGGATCACGGTCTCTTCGTCTTCAGACTAAACGTGTGAGATTTTCGTGGATTTCTACTCCATGTAACGCGCAACGCAAATGCGGGTTAGTTCCATCAAAAAGTCTTCCATGAAGG